GAGAGAGAGAGAGAGAGAGAGAGAGAGAGAGAGAGGAGAGCATGATATTGGGTGCATAGCAAGGGGGGCGGGCCTGGGTGAAGATGATCAAAACACATCATATGAAATCCTCCAAGATCTAATAAAAATACTTCATAAAAATGAAGAGGAGCACAGAAGAAGAGCAGGTCAGATGGATGGGCAGGGGAAGGTGCCTGCCACAGCCTGGTTCCCAGGAGCTCATGTAAGGGTGGGAGGCGAGAACAGAGATCTCCTTGGACCTCCACGGGTGTGTGGTGGTATGTGCCTACGCATATACTGGCCATCAATAAATGAAGCGGGGGCTGGAGAGATGGTGTGGTGGTTAAGAATGTAGCGTGCTGCTCTTCCAGCGAGGCTGGGTCCCAGCACCCATATTTGGGAGACTCACAACCACCTGTAACTCCAGCTCCAGAGGATCTGGCTTCCCCCCTGCCTCAGCGGCACCTGCCCTCATGTGTACCACCTCGCATAATACAATTAAAAAATAAAAGCAAAGAAGCTTTAGGCATCGGTGAGGCGTGCTTCTGTGTGTGTCTCTAAGGAAGTTTCCAGAGAAGAGGAAAGATCCCCCCTAAACACAGGTGACACCATTCCACGATCACACATAGACAGGCATAAAAATAAGCGGTGAAATAAATCTGTTTTTAGGCTAAACAAAGCTGAGCGTGTTTTCTGTTGCTGTAACATAATAGCACACCTGGACACCTTATAAAATGTTCACGTGTACTCGGTTCATGATTCTACAGGCTGGGAAGTCCCACGGTGGACTTTGGTGCCCGGTGAGTGTCTTGTGTGCTGCAAATGTCACACAGACCGGTGGCTTCCTCTTCTCTCACACCACCGTGGGGGTCCCATCTTTATGACCTTTTTCTGATTCCTACTTACTACCTTCAAGCCTCCAAAACCCACCGCCACTTGAATTTGGGATTGACTCTCTAGCACGCGAACGTTGAGGGGAGGCCTCCACGCCACGGAGGCTCCTGTCTCTGAGGAGGAAGGAGCCCAGCTAGACAAGGAGGCAGCAGTGCAAGACCTGCACTCCCGATGCAGGGACTCGGGACCGCCCCCTCCCAAGGAGACTCACAGACCGAGGTTCGAGGTTCGAGGTTCGAGGTTCGATGCAAAAGCATGAGGCAGTTTATTCTGATCGCGATGGGGGTCGCCCCTTCAAGGCAGGAGACGACCCCAAGCATACAAAGCAGAGAGTATTTTATACCTAAAAATCAGACCACACATGTTTCTTTACATTGACTGGTCAGCAGAAAGACAGCAGTTTTGCAGCTGGCAGCTTGTAGCTTCTTCCAAGAGCAGTCCTTCCTGCCCCAGGTTTCTTATCTTAAATAAGCTCATCCTGTCTTCTGAGGAGGGCCATCTGGTCTGGCCTCTACTCAAGGTTTAGTAGCCCTAGCTGTTTTTCTTTCTAAGCTGGCCCTTATTCAAGGTCCAGTTGTTTTTCTTTCTAGTCTGGGATGGTCCCATTTCTCAGCAGCACTTTTCAGCAAGGGGCAACAAGGTACCGATACAGTGTAGGGAAATCAGGCCAGGTAGCCTGTCATTGAACCAGAAATGACCTGTGGGTTGGTTGGCAGCATCTTCTCATAAATGACAGTCTAGTTACATGGCTTAAATAATACAATCATTTGGTATAATTTATATCAGTGCTTGGCTTTCTCTTATTACAGCTTTTTAAAAACAATTTTTAAAAATGTGTGTGATGATACACACCTTTAATTCTATCACTCAGGAGGCAGAAGCAAACACAGGGCTGAGGAAGCCAGGTCTACCAGCAAGTTCCAGGCTAGCTTGGGTTACAAAGTAAGGCTCTGTTTCCGATAAGAGAGGGACGGTGGTGGGAGGGGAGAAAAAGTGCATGACTCAATAAAAAAGAAAGGGGGGGCAGAACTCTTTTTGGTCACTCTCTTTAAAAATTACAGATAATACATTTCAGTGACTAGTCAATATATGTAGGTTTAGATTAGAAATTATCAAATAAATATTGGAAAAATATTTTAAATTGAGCTCAAGTCAGATATGGGCAATTTCATTTAAAACTCTAATTTGGATCTTCAGTATTTATTACATATATCAACAAAAACAATGTCACGGTTCCAAGTCCTAATTCAGTAATTTCTAGATGGCCTCATACAAATGTAGAAAGTACTGAACTCCTGTTCATAACCTTGTCTGTCTCCATGAGACAGCTTCTGCCAACAGAACTGCACAGCAGAAAACATTCCCTGACGCACTAACAGCTCAGACACCACTCTGTACACAGTGACTACCATAAAGCAGCGCGCACTCCCGTGCTGGTTCCAGTGAATGGCAACAGACTTCTTCCAAAAGCCGGCTTTAAAGGGCTGAGAAATTCTCAGGTCACAGCCACAAAGGCCAAGTGCCAAGGTGGAGATGGTGTCAACAGCAGCTGCAGTGGCACGGCTTGTTCTGCTCATGGCATGGTTTGGGATGTTCCCTTTCCTTCTGTGGCAAGGCCCTCTGAAGGCTCTAGAGCAGGATTCCACGTGGTCAAAATGTTATCATGCCTTGCCAGATCTCCCACTAGGCCTGCTGGGACCAGAGGAACCGATCACACTTCTCAAGCATGCCTTGTATCAGCGCTCTGAAATTCCACAGAAAGAAACAAGAAATTCAATTGTTCTCATTCTTAGTAGCAGATTAAAAACTCTAAAGACTTAAGAGGATTCAAAACACTGTTTCTGTGCTCAAAAGACACAGGCTGAAACCAGGAGAGTGGGCTGGGGACATGATGACTCAGAGAACTGGAATGCTTGCCAGGCTGAGAGGAGGCCTCAAGCACGGCGTTGGAAAAAAGAAAAGAAAAGGAACAACAGAATGAACAAGTAATCTGGAATGGGAGAAAATATATGCAACTCTTACCTGGCAAGAGGCAGTTAGACATTTAGAATATGGCAGAGTTCCACAACTAAACTAGCAACTTGAGTACAAAAAGGGCAATGGACTTAAAATTTCTCCAGAGATGACATCAAAACCTTAAGCACAACTGTTCATTCAGCATCAACAGTCATTAGGAAAATGCAAACCAGTTGAGCAGTTCTGATGCAAAACTCCAAAACTTTTAAATGTAAATATTTATTTACATTTAAAAAAATCCAAAAAATTCTGAAACTTGAAATACTTCTGATCCCAGCTACATTAGAATGGGATACTCAACCTGATGCTGTTATCATTCTACTTAGATGAGGCATCTGGGATGCTCAAACTCAACAGAATGCAGAATGGTGGTTGCCGGGTATGGGAATGAAGGCCTGTTTAATAGCTCTGGTGTGTCAGTTCACAGAAGAGATACTGGAAATTGACTGCTTAGCAACATGCATACACTAAATAACTAAATGTTCTAGACAGCAAATTTCACATGGTTTTGCTTTCCTTTCTTTCTTTCTTTTTTTTAAAGACAGGTAATTATTGCTATCCAATCCAGGGTGGCCTTGAACTGCTGACCCGCCTGTCCCAGCCTCCCCAGTGCTGAGATTACAAGTGTGTTTGGCCTGGTTTCTGTTGTTCCCACCATATCTATTTTACCACAAACAGCAAAAGAGAAACTTGAATAAAATGTGTGTACATACATATATAGTTTTGCCTTGTTTTTTAAACTGGACACTGGGCTTCATGAATGATAAATAAATGCTCTGCCATGAGCTACATCTGCAGCTTTTCTTCACTTTTTTTAGACAGGATTTCACTAATTCACCCTGTGTGTCTCTGAACCTGTAGTTCTCCAGCCTTGGCCTCCTAAGCAGCTAGCTTACAGACCTGGCAAAAGCTATTCTTAAAAAAACTGAGGACGCACACTATTGGGACACACATCAACCTCAAGAGTAGCTTGATCTTTATTATGAGTAAAACTTTACTTTGGCTCCCTCTTTTACTCTACAGTCAACAAATGTGTCTCAGTCTCCTCATGTGCTAGTGAGCAACTGAGACATGACTCTGCACTCCTGCCTATCTCCCTCTGTAAGTGTGAGGGCCCACGTGCCCAGGCACCACTGAGTGATGACAGGCTGGCATTACCTCTGCCTTCTCTCAGCAATCTTCAGGATGTCACAGGTTCTGGTAAACTTTTCTGACAATTCAAGGGCCAGGCCACACTCCTGCAGCAGTGACCAGGCCCGATCTGGGCCCATGGCCTTAGCTAACAGGAGTGCCACACTCTCCACATTGAGGGGGGCAGGCCCATCACTGAGGCTTCCGTTTAGTGACTCCTGAGGGGCTGGCCTTGCGCTCTTGTTCTGAAGCAGATGCAGGAGAAGCTTCCATTCCTCCAAGGTCTCGGGGACCCACCCTGTACACAGAAACAACACTGGGGTTGACCCAAAGCATGCAGGCTCCATACATGAAGCACCAAAACTGTAAGGACACTTAAAAACAAACACATTCACGAACAGAGTCTCAGCTGACAGTAGCACATGCCTGTAATCCCAGGATGCAGGAGGCTACGGCAGGCAGATCTCTATTGAGTTAGAGGCCAGCCTGGTCTACAAAATGAGTCCAGGACAACTAGGGCTGTTATCTAGAGAAACCCTGTCTCGAAACAAAAATCCCAACAACAAAAAACAGGAAACAGAGTCGCTTCACCTTAGCCCAAACCTTCTGAACACACAGAATTAAAAATCATCCTCAAACTTTCTGGATTTGCAACGAGGAACACAACAGACACAACCTCCACAGTCCTGCAGCAATCAGGTTAATACAGCCTTACATATATATGTAAACCACTATTTATAAACCAGGTTGAGTGTATGAAGGAAAAGAATAAGGACTATAGAAGTGCAAGTGCCATTCAGAGCAGCAGAGAAAGGTTCTGTGAAGAAGCAATATCCGAGCAAAAGCTAAAGAATGAAACAGGCAGGAGGAAACATGCAGTCTGCATGACATCCAGCCTTCGAGTAGGGGCAAGCAGGGGAGGGCGAGAACTGCGCTGCTGACACAGATGACACAGTAGATAATGTGACACAGCAAAGAACCAGCTGAGCTCTTAAAAGCCTACAGTGTGTAGTGCATGACTTTAATCCCAGCACTTACTTGGGAGGCAGAGGCAGCCTGGTCTACAGAAAGAGTTCCATGCCAACCAGGGCGACACAAAGAAACCCTGTCTCAAAACAAGAAACTGTCAGTGCCTGTCACTAACAGTGTGCAGTGAGGATAAGAGGATAGGTCAGGCCCATGGAAAAACTTTACAGTATGAGTGCCAGGGCTCTCAGGGAGGAAGCTACGTTGCTCAGCTGTTTTTAAGACTTATTGTGTGTATGTATACATGTGTGCGCACACACATGTGAGAACATATGTAGGGGTGTCCACAGTAGCCAGAAAAGGAAGTTAAGAGTTCCTGGAGCTGGAGTTATAGGCAAGTCTCAGCCACCCAGCATGGGGTGACGGGAACCAAACTCTGGTCCTCTGCAGGAATGGCAGGTGCTCACGCCTGCTGGGCCATCATGGCAGTCCTCATTTTTTGCCTCACCTGGGCAAAGTGGGAGAGCTGGTCCTGGTGGTGTGGGCATCGGGGAGCTGTTGGGCTGACCAATTGGGCTACCACCCAGGCCCAGATCCAGAGTTCTGAGCTGGCCCACCCCAGCATCCACCTCATCTATGAACTGCTTCCTGCAAAGCTGGGGAGAGACTTCCAGAACAGTACAGTGAGGGGTTCCCAGCTGGGATTTACATACCATTGTCCCCTTCCATCAGGCTTATGTCATTCAGGTACACAATGTTGGTGAAGGCCTCTCTCCTCCTCTCCAGCTCCAGACACAGTGTAAGATACCCAGGCCAGAAGCTTAAAGAGACAAAGTTGATGAGAGGAGTAAGTGCCGTAAATGTCTACAAACCGCACTGCCCGTATCAGCCCCTCGGGTCCTTAAGGCCTAAGGTAAAAGTGGATTAAAATTAAAACCCAGAGTTAACTTGCTGTTTTAAGATAAGTCTTTTTTCAAGCTTTTTATTTATTTTAAAAAACTTTTAAAAAAATTTTTATATGTATGGGTATTTTGCCTAGATGTATGTCTATGGACCACATGTGTGTCTGTTGCCCAAGGAGGCCAACAGTGGGTACTAGAGGCCCTGGAACTGGAGTTACAGACAGTTGTAAGCTGCACATGAATGCTGGGAATTGAACTTGGGTCCTCTAGAAAGTGCTCTTAACCCCTGAGATTTATTTTTATATTGTGCATATAAATGCTTGGTCTCTACATGTTTCTGCATACTATACATGCTCAGGGCCCCCAAAGGCCAGAAGAGGGCATCAGATGCCCTGGAACTAGAATGATATCAGTGGTAAACATTTATGTAGGTGTTAGGAATTGAGTCTGGGTCCTTTGCAAGAGTAGCAAGTGTTCTTAGCAACAAGCCATCTCTCCAGTTGCTAGAAGTAAGTTTTGCAACTAAATATTGGTGAGCACATGTGGCTAGTAGGCGGAGCACCAGAATCTTTCCACCATCACACACCCTCTACTCGACAGCCTTAATCTAGTGCACTGAAGAAACAAAGCTTTATGTGCTTTGCAAGTAGTTTTGTTCTTTAATTTGTCTCCTTTATGTATAGGTTGTTTGCCAGGATGTATGGATATGTACCACATGCCTGTCTGGTCCCTGTGGAGGATAAAGGAGGATGTCAGAGCCTCTGGAACTGGAGTTACAGATGGTTGTGCTGAGAATCAAACCTCGATCCTCTGGAAGAGTAGCCAGTGCTCTTAACCCCTGAAATAGCCCCTGCTTTTTAAGTTTTAACATTCAATACACAATCAGTATGTGTCTCCAAATCTCAATCCTTCACTTTCTCCTTGGTGCTCTCCCTAATCACCAACCCCTCATCCTGTAATAATTAACACAATCTCTTCCTGTGGGCTTTCCTTTCTTGGGTATGACACTAGATATAATCTCCGGAGAGTCTAAAAGGAAGCCAGAGAGATGGCTCAGCAGGTCACGCATGCTGCCATGCTTGACAACCTGAGTTCAATCCCTGGTATCCACTTGGTAGAAAAAGAGAAACTCTAGAAGGCTGTTCTCTGATATCCACACAGATGACAGGGCATGCACATGCCCCTCCCCAAATCAAATTAAGATAGAACAAACTACTTATTATTTAAGTCCAAAAGGGTAGCTCCTGACCTCTCCACCTGCCACCTGGCCAGCCTCATATCTATTTATCAACGAACAAATAGGTATCACATAGTTGTCAATGCATAAACTACCTCTAAGGGGTATGAAGGTGAAGGTCCTCTAAAAAATACCAGGTGGAGCAGAAGCCAGTACCCCTAGACAGTGCCTAACCCTCTCATTAGCAGTGTGGATTTTCATCTTACAGCTTCCCTCAGCAGATCCATCCTGCCCCATGGCCTCCAGGGCCGACTCCCAATCTCTTCCCCTCCTGAACCCTTCACCAAGGGAGCCTATTCTGATCTCTCCCTTCTTGGAAATCTTTCGTCTACTGGAACCAGTCTGCAAATAATATATAACAGCCTGAAAAGTGGCTCTAAAAACTGGACAGAGGGAGTACAAGGAACTCAAGAGGCCATTTTCTCCTAACATTACAGGAACAAAATTGCAAAAATTGCTGATGTTTACTGTCACAACAGGGGGCTGGAGAGATGGCTCAGGACTTAGATCACCAGCTGCTCTTCCAGAGGACCTGGGTTCCATGCTCAGCACCCACATGGTGGCTCAGATCTCTCTGTAACTCCAGTTCTAGGAGACATGATGCCCTTTTCTGGTCTCTGTGGTACGCAGACATTCATGCAGGAAAAACAGCCAAACACAGACAATAAAAATGATGGCACTTTATCTTAAGGTGCATTTACATTTTAGTATCAAATTGAATCCTTACATAATAAAGCACACAAAATAAAGCAGGACCTTAACTAGGTTATGTCTGGATCCCAGTCGCCATACCAGCATCTGCAAACATCCTCACTCACCCGTAAGACCTACAGATATCAGCCATTTTCTCTTTGGTTGTAAAGTCTGCAGGAAGTTTAACCAGAAGAAAGATCAGCTGACTGTAACCCCAGGAAAGCAAGTGTGAATGGGGCCTATGAAATGAAAGAATACAGCAAGTTAGGTAGGAAATAAACTCTATAAAGTACTTTTTAGTCATCTAATAGGTAAGACTATAGCTAAAGCATATTCCATTATTATAGTGTCCAAATATTTTGCTCTCCAAAAATAAAAAAATAGCTACTTTTAACTTGGTCATCTTGAAATGAAACAAACAAAAAAAAAACACTGAAAATAGGGCCTGAGGGTGTATCTCAGTGTTAGAGTGCCTTCCTAGTAAGCAGGTTCTGAGTTTAATCCTAACACTGATCAAAACCTTGATTCTATCACTTACAGGCACTCTGTATCATTCTAGGCTTTTTCCAAGGAGTAAGTCAAACAAAATAGGCATTTGGCAGGAAGCAGTGCTTTCAAAAGTGCTTCCCTTAAAAGAAAATACAAGGACTGTTTCTGAATTGCATACTAGTGTTTTTTTTTCTTTTTTCCAGATTCTATTTTTTTCAAATCCTACTGGTACATTTACAAATTAGTTGACATGTCTTTTGAAAGAAAACATACATACACAGTTTTTTTGTTTTGTTTTGTTTTGTTTTTAAGACAGGCTAATCCAGGGTTCACTGTGGATCTACCAAAGAGCTGCAGGAAGACCAGTTTAATTCTTTGAAGTTATGTGCAAATTTTTACATGAATGTGCATTTTTCTGAATGGAATCGTGAGATTCTTTTAGAGTTTGTAAACTCACAAGTGTTCAGAACCACTAGGATTTACATGGATATGTAATCTCATTGCTCCCAGTACTTGGTTAAGTTTTTCTGCTGCTAACTAGCATGAACGCTGTAAGTGAACATACAAGCAATTCCACTTGGAAGACGGCTTACCTGGGATGTCCTTCATCATCCACTGTACTTGTGCTTGGCGGAGCATCATGGGACACTGCCAAAAGCAGCCAGTCAAGTCTTAAAGATTCTGGTTGTAGAAGAAACTCAAGGAAGGATGGCCTGAGAGCAAGTTGGGGAGAAAAACCACTAATCTTCATGAGAAAGAACACGGTGTGGGGCTGGAGAGAAAACGGTTGGGGGACAACCCGAAAGCTCCTGCACTGCAAAAAAAAAAAAAAAACTGGAAACACCCGTGAGAGCATCCGTATACCAAATGACAACCAGCTGTGAGATAAGGAAAAAGCTGGGGGGGACCCATGTGGTAAACAGAAAGTTTCCAGTCTAATAACTAAATGGGAAATGGGAGTTTCCTGCTATGGAGAGGAGAAACGAGGCTCAGCCTAAGAGTAAAAGGGCAAAAACAGATCCACCCATGAAAGCGGCGCCACTTCAATGAAAAGCATTGGCCGGCCGGGACTGAGAAGCCCTACTGAGTCAAGAATTTGTTTTCTTTTTGAAGATTATTTTTTATTTTCTATATCTGTCGCTTGTCACAGGTTTGTAGTACCGTGGAAGGTCACTGAAGAGGGCATCAGATCTCCTAGAACTAGAGTTACAGACTGCTGTGGGCTGCCATGTGGGTGCTGGGAATGGAAGCTGGGTCCTCTGCTGAGCATCTCTCCGGCACAAAGGACTTCACTTTCCACAGAGAACCTGAGAGCCTCCCAGAGAGCGGAGGGAAAGTGTGTTACGTGTGCATCTGTGATGTGCTGCGGGGGTGACGGGGATTAAAACTGACCAAGCCCTCATCTTCCACAGTAGCTGACATCTTCCACAGTAGCGATAAAACTGAAACAATTCTCCACCTAAAATAGAGACTACACACGCCTTCTCACCACTGATCTTCAGGCCTTGATTTCACCAGACTGTCTAGATAGGCCAAAAACTGAGCAGGATGATGACGACAAAGCTGTGCGATGTCCGAAGGAGAGATGGAAGGATAAAACTTGATGAAGGCTCGAAGGGCAGACTCCCCAAATCTGTCATACAACCTGCATTTGAAACCAGAGCATATCAGTTTCCAGTTTCAATGCCAGAACCTGGCTTTTTATACTAAGGACTCCTAAGAAATAAGAACAAATGCTCTAATAAGAAACTGCACAATATGCAAATGAGCCAAACTTTAGCTCCTAAGCCATAAAAACACTGTAGATGTTTGGGTTCCCACAAACAACATACATGACAACCTACCGGGTGGCAAATGCAATCAACAAGGGGCTATCGGAAGGGACGGCGCCATCGAGCAGCTGTAACCCTGTGGACAGATCTCCTTCTTCCAGCGCTGCATATGCAGGATTAGAACTTGCCATTTCTGAAAAGTAAAGCACAGCCTTTCCCTTCACCTTTCTGCTGCAAATGTTCCTGGACACATTCATTCAACAGTCTTTATCACACGCTACTGTCACCCACGAGGGCAAGGTCCCAACATCTGTTAAGCTCAGCAGGCAACAAAAACAAAACCTACCATTATATAATCTCAATGTTCAAAGACCATAAAGTCAAAATGGCAAAGAAAACTCACTCGGATGTTTATTTTTGGGTATGTGTGCTGCTGTTTCTAGAAGCCAGAGGAGATCATTGGATCCTCTGGAGCTGGAGCTGAGCCGGCTGATGTGGGGCGGGGAGCCAAACTCAGGTCCTCTGAAAGAGCAAAGCACTAGCACCCAAGCACTGAGCCTCCTCTTCAGACTCACTGAAATTTTCAGAGGACAAAAGAACAAATAGTGACTATGAAAGTGACTACTACGCTTTAAAAAATAAGTTTATAGGACGTGTGTGTGTGTGTGCGTGCGTGTGTGCGTGCGTGTTCGTGTGTGTGTATACAAGCCACATCTCTATTTTCAATGGCAAATTGTTCAGTTTTTAATACAACCAATACCCCCTATCATCTTGTAGAACTGAATTTAGTAAAATTAATTTAAAAATAGTTGACCTTGAAAAAAACAGCACTCAAGCAAATACTTATCCTAAGAAAAAAGAACTGACTTTTGGGAGCAGCCAGAAATCATTTACAGCCAAAAATAGTGAATGAAGTAAGTGGCAATCTAGTTAAAAACCTTTTCAGGGGGCTGGGCATGGTGACGCACGCCTTTAATCCCAGCACCTGGAAGGCAGAGGCAGGTGGATCTCTGGGTTAGAAACCAGCCTGGTCTACAGAGTGAGTTCCAGAACAGCCAGGACTACACTGAGAAACCCTGTGTCAGAAAAAAACAAACAAAAGAAAACAAACCTTTCTTGGTTTAAAAAAAAAAAAAAAAATCAGGCCTGGGGGTTTAAGCCTTTGATCCCAGCACTCAGGAGGCAGAAGCAGGTGGAACTCATGAATTTGAGGCCCAGCCTGGTCTACACAGTGAGTTCCAGAACAGCCAGAGCTCTATAGAGAGACCTGTCTCAAAAGAAAAAAAAAAAAAAAAAAAAAGAAAGAAAAGAAAAAGGAATGAAAATAAAAAGGATATGATTCTGAACTTAAGTAAATGAGTTTTTTTTCCCCCAGTAGTTTTCGATGGTCCTGAAGACATATACAAAGAACAGTTTCAGAACCATGAGGAAAGCAGTCACTCCGCTGGACCTGATGTGGGGAAAGAAGAGCTCCCCAGGGCTGGCAGGAGAGCAAACTGGCGCAGCAGCTATGGTGGTCAATGTGGAGGTCTGTCACCCAGCTGGAACTACATCCGCCGTAGGAACCAGCTACACCACTGTTAGGCATTCATCCCGAGTTGACCCGCCAAAGATGCCTGCACACTCATGTCGCTGCAGTGTTCACAGCAGCCAAGACACCAAACAAGCCTGTGTGTCTATCAGCAGATGAGTAGATTAAAAATGGTGCATACTCAGATGGAATCTAGGTAGTCATAAAGGAAAATGAAATCATGACATGCAGGAAAATGGATGCCACTGGAAATAAGCCAGACTCAGAAAGACAAATGCCACATGTTTTGCTTACGTGGATACAGAGAAAGTAACAGAAGAGAACCGAAGGAAAAAAGGCATCAGCTGCAAAGAAGAAAAAGAAGGCAGGAAATGAATGAGGAAAAGTATAATGACACATATATGAAGATGCCATGATGCCTTACTTTCTATGATAACCTAAAAAAATAACTTTATTATCAATGTGTGTTTCCATGTATGGGGTAGGACTGCATGCCACAGCACACATGTGGAGGTAAGAGGACCACCGTGAGGAGTGCTCTCTCCTTCCGTCTTCGCATAGCAGGTGCTTGTACACTCTGAGCCGTCTTCCTAATCCCCAAGATTAAAGACACAATTTAAGTTAGAAACACTGTCAAACATTCCACTGGAAAAGAAGTATCTTACTTCCTATTTCACATAAAATACTTAGGCTTTTAAGCTGCTATATGTGAACTGAAGCAGAACTGTAACTGTATATGCACCTTTACAATATTTTTTATTAATATATGAGTGTTCTGCTGCTTATACACCTGCATGCCAGAAGAGGGCATTAGATTCCTTCATGAACCACCACGTGGTTGCTACGAGTTGAACTCAGGACTTCTGGAAGAGCAGCCACAGCTTTTAACTGGTGAGCCATCTCACCAGCCCTAGATGCCAGGAAGCTAAAAGACCTTTAATGTAGATAATATGCAAGTATGTATACCCATGGCAATTCACTTTGGGCAATGAAGAAACTGTGTGTTTAAAATCTCAATTGCTGGAGACAACATGGTATCTGCTACTCAGGCAGAATTCCAAAGGGGAGAGGGACCTCAAAACCAGGGTAACAAAGCAGAGGAAAGAGCAACACATGTGAACATGGCTGTGAGGATGACAGCTGGCATGAGCTACAGCCAAGCCTGAGCAGACACTGCTGGCTGGGCAACACAGACCTACACACTCCCCACCCTCCTGTACACAAGAACTGGACAGTGCCTGCATTTCCTCTGCAGTTAGGGCGTGCTGGGGGAAGGGATGCTCACCAGAGTCATGTGAAACAAGACTGGTAAGCCACAGCCAGGTGGCACTCCCCAGATACACGAAGCCAGCCTTGGCCATGAACCTTAGGGAAGGAGAGAGCTGAAAACACTATAGCGAACTTCAAGGAACTTCCTGGACTCCACAAAGAGAGCTTCCCACTGAGCGAAGGAACAGCTCTCCCAGACCCTTAAACAAGCAAGACATTAAGTGTGCATCTGAGCTGGACTATGATTGCAGCCGTCTAGCCAGCATCTCTGTGCCTCCAGCACCTCATGTAAATTAGTTCATCCACTCTGAAGCCTGGTACAGAACGAGCACTTACCACATTCTGTAGCACACTGTATACTACACAGTGCGCTCTTTTGTGTTAGCAAGCCACTGAAAGAATTTTCTGCACCTTCCCACATCTGCACTCACAAACATCTTACTTTTACCCCAGCTGTTCCAACATTGCGATAACATTTTCTGAATGTCACTTTAAGAAAAACAAAACTAATTTCTTATAATACAGTAATAAAGTAAGTCAATGTTTGAAGAACTATTAAAGCTTAAATGAGTAGAAAACAGGCTCATTGAGATGGCTCAGTGGAAAATATGCTTGCCACCTAGTCTGACACCAGAGTTCAATACTGAGGACCCACAGGGTGGAAGGAGAGAAGTGACTCCAAAGCTGTCCTCTGAGCTCTACAATTGTGCCATGATACACACACGTATGCAGGGGTTCACACGGACACATGTGCATGCACACACTGACACAGAGAGCGGAGGGGCTGGAGAGACGGCTCAGCAGTTAAAGCACTTGCTGCTCTTGAAGAGGACATTGGGTTTGATTTCCACCCACATACAAGAGGAGGCACACAAGCCACCTATATAACTCCTGCTCCAAGGGATCTGATGCTTCTTTAGGCTTCTTCAAGCATGCATATGGCACAAAGCAAGAGAAGCACATATACATACACATAAATACAAATAAATATTTTTTTAAGAGAGAGAGGAGAAAACAGAAGGGAAGGCAATGCTACCTGACAATTACCTTTCAGTCCTTCAATAAAAGTGTCCCAAACACAAGGGCTGTTGGTGTAACTCAGCTTGATACTATCCTTTGCTCTTTTCAAGTCCAGGAGGAAAAAGTACTTCTTTAGGAACTGAGAAGCCAGGGTTTCAGGAGAGAGCTGCTGTGGAGCACTGTCCACAGGTCCTCCTATGCTTTCCACCGCAGAGGTCAACACGTTCAGCTCCAAGCACAACATTGTTAGTTCTACCAGGTCCTTCTGAAGGCTGTTTGCTATGGTGTATGGAGAACACACTCGAAAGCTGCCGCCCAAGGGCTCCCTAAGGCTGCACACAGAGCCACAGGCTGTTTTACCACCAGTTTCTTCAAGGCCTAAAGAGACCGTTTTTTCTTTTTCACTATCTTCATCTAATATTCTCTTTTCTGACTCCTTAAGGAGGTGCACATCCAGATTCGATTTCACAGGTAGATTGCTAGTACTGGAAATGCCAGCCAAGTCTTCCATGGCAAATGTCTTTTCTAACTGTGGCAGCCACTCTTGTAAAACCGTTCTTAGTGACTTGGGTTCAAACAAAACCAGAGGGTCCAGTAACTTGGTCCTGCGAGAAAAAGACAAATGTAAAAGTTGCTTCATTCGCTTTTTAAAAACAGATTATTTCAGTTTAAATACTTAACTGGTAAACCACACTCACCTGGGATAGATGTTGTTTTTGAGCTCTTTAAGTGACAACTATCCCAGCAAGCCAACAAGACACTGGAGTACATTACTGATTATTGAACATCCATTGCAAATAAGGCTACCTCTGACCTACAGAGTCAAGCCCACTACTGCCTTTGGACACAAAGGCCAACCCCACTCACTGTAAACCCTCCACGCTCACATTGCTTCTGCTGTCACTGCTGTGAGTTCTTGAAGCCTGTCTTCTTCAGGAGGCTGACCAATTTCTTTCTCCCTAAGAAAGCATGGAAAAGAAAGAATCCTATTCACAGGCATTAGGGACAAGCAAAGCTTTCTTAGCCCGAGACTTCTGCTGCTTACCAAATGGCAAGTGTGTTACACGCCACATTGACTTAGAGAATCTTATTCCCCATTATCTTCATCAAATTTTCAGTTCTAATTCATCAAGCAATGGCACATCCCAGCGCTGACAGGCCAGACAGTATTAATGACTTAAAGTTACAAGCTAGTCAGAAGAGCGAGGACAAGCCCTAGATGTTAGTCATCTCTTAATCTAACACCTCTCTGACATTCCAGGAATGGGACAGGATGACATGAAACCAGAACTCTGTTAATTCCTTGTAAACCGCGGAATTTGCAGTCTCTGAGCTATACAACAGTCTCCGGGGGCAGTGTCACCCACACAAAGTCTCCAACAGTACAGTCTACGGCTTCTTCACACTGGCAGCTCTCCTAGCTTTCCAGACCCAGACACGAGACTTACTCAGGGTCCTCCTCCAAAGGGCACGTAACTGCATTCACTTCCTCTTCGTGTGCTTGCTCCACATCCTTGGACTCAAATGTCTCTTTCAGCTCTGGGCTTCCATGAAGGGTGCCAATTTTCTCAGTAGTTTTACGCACAAAACTAGAAACACTGGAAGTCAAATACCAAAAAGCTAACGTGAAAACGTATCAACACTGTCGAGAGTTGGTATGTGACAGTAGTTATATATTACAGCTGCCATAGCACTTGCTTCTGACGTTTTTATCCTTCTATTAGTACTATAGGCCATCTTGAACTTCACAATAAGACAGACTCTGCTTATAGCAAACGAGCACACTCTCTGATCATCCACACTTCACAGGAGGCTCATATAAACTTAGAATAAAGTGATTCTTTGTGTTTATAAAACTGGCCTGAAGCTGGGAAGCAGTGGTACAAACCTATAATCCCAGCACTCAGGAGGCAGAGGCAGACAGATCTCTGTGAGTTCCAGGCCATTCTGGTCTATGAGTAAGTTCCAGGACAGCTAAAGCTACACAGAGAAATCCTGTCTCAAAAAAAAAAAAAAAAAAAGACAACAAAACACTGTCCTGAATATGTCATCGCTAAAGGGAAGATCTCTAATCCAGTTGTCTCTGCAATGTAATGTCTCCTTCAACTCAGGCAAGTTAAGCGTGTGGCCATCAGCCACTTCCTGGTCAGAAAACAAGGAACTTCTTCATGGAACTTAGCTCCCAACTTTTCACAACAGACCTTCTACACAGAGGAATGTGCACCTAGCAGGACTTGGGAAGTAGCTGGACAGAAAATACATCTCTCTTGTTCTCAGCACCAAGACTGGTTTCACATATGAACTAGGAAGAATTCTCAGAAATCTCCAATTGTTCCAGATATGGCTGTATACACTTTTAACCCCAGCATTCGGGAAGCAGAGGCAGATGGAGCTCTGTGAATTTGATGCCAGCCCAGTTTACATGTGGAGTACCATGGCAGCTAGAGCTATATAGTGAGGACACGTCTCAAGAAGGGGGGAAATCCTCCATTTATGACCCTTTAAGTGAAAAAGGATCAAGAAATGACTAAAAGTAATGCAAGACACCTCGATTCTCAGTGGTTGATTCCCAGCACCCACATGAGGGCTCACAACTCCCTGTCACGCCAGTTCCAGGGGATCTAACACAGCCTGGCTTCCACATGCACCTGCACACACATGGCACACATAAACTCACACAGCCCCCTACACAAATACAAATACATACATCTTCACATACACACAAAAAGACTAATGGGCCAGAGAGACGGCTGAGCAGGTACAGGCACTTGCCACCAAGCCTGACGGGATGAGTTAGTCCCTAGAATCCACACAGGAGAAAGAGAACTGATGAGACAAAGTTGTTTCCTTCCTCCACGTGGACATACTATGGCATACAGGAGGGATGAAACTACAATATTTAATTTTGATATGTCTGGTATACGGGTCTCATCTACAACTTACATACTAAGCTTCACAAACAAAGAGGAACATTTCAGTTCCCCAGGGTTGAAAGGAGAAATTAGCAGTTTATTAACAGTTTATTAGAGAAATAGCTTGAGACCTTTTTATCATTTAAAATCTTTTCCTTCTCAGTATGTCAAGTGATAACTGAAGCAAAGTGAGAAATGGAATCAGATGACAAGACTGCCTTGTTTACCTTTCTTTGACAGCCTGAAGAGATACGAGGGGAGATGGAGAGCGAAATGGCAGCGGAATGCTGAAAGGCAGAAAAGCTTCATTCTTCTCTATCTCGGACGTCTCTGGACTGTGGAAAACACTGTCTAATAAGTAGAAGCAGGGAAAAACAAACATCTAATCACATGGAAGTTTTTTAAAGGACCAAACAAATTTAGAAATGAATAAAGCAAAGGAAATGAAGGATTCTATACCAAAATCATAACTGATCCAGATACAAATGAGCACAGAACACAGGATTATGGGATGCATGGATGGTCCACGTGAAACACTGAGCCAGGTACCTTTATCAACTACTAACCCTGAATCCCCACAAGCCACAAGGGTAGTTTAGAGTGTCTACTAATCTCTTCTCAACAGTTCAGTCACAGGAATGCTGGAACATTGAAAAGGGAAGGCAATGGCTCCCAAAACTGAAGCCATCTTTCATTCCTGGTGGAAAATAATGTGGTTAGTGAGATAAAATTCTTCCTCATTTTGGCTAATGCTCTGTCTTAACCTGTGTAGCATTTTTTATGCATGACACAAATTAGGCACTTTACAAATGTTAGTTCAAACAAGAGTTAAAGAGCAACCTATACATCGCCAACTTCTAGCGGCCAGCAGATCTATCGGTCGCTAGTCTCTACCGTGGAGAAACTCTCTGCAGATTATCCTGGCAATTTGCAGTGAACAACTGTTCCTCATCAGTGACTAACAAGAGACACTCATCACCTTCATGTCTGTTCGCACCACAGCTGTGCTCTGGCTGCTCCTCTTCCTGGTGTGAGGCAAATTCTTTAAGTCTCTCATCTTCTGAGAAGGTCTGGCTGTGAAGGGAGCAAGAGTCTTCGTCGGACTGACTGTCTCTTCTACTACTGATGATACGGTAAATACCAGAGTCCAAGATGCTAAAACTTTCCTAAAAATGAAAATAACTCCCCTCAAGATCAAAGTTCTCCATGTAACGCAACACAGCCTTTCAGAAGGATGACAATACTAGAGCGGAAGGTCAGCGCCAACAGCTGCAGCTCCTCAGCACACGCAAGCGAAGAGCGGCCAGCTGGCACCCTGGTGTCAGATAAGCTAGTGATACTGTGTCGCCCACCACAGCACTCAGCCTGTCCTGCCTTTGGAAAGCAGGTAGTGAGAAAGGGGGTTGGAATGAGGCAGTCCTGAGCAGCACTGAGACCTCAGATAACATCAAACATCTGAAGTCACAGACTGAAAAGCACCTTAGTAAACATGAAGCTATGTGAACAACTTGGGAACAGCAAGCAGTAAACAGTGACAAACAAATGTAGCTTCGAGACACACCTGATTTCCCCCCACTGCTCACCATGGAAAAAGGCTCCCCTGTTACATGTTGGGTTCTGAATGTGTCCATATATTGATGCCCAATCTATGGTGCTACTGGGGGGGTGGCAAACCTTTGAAGTGGAGCTCAGTAACAGTTAGGTTACTGTGTATGCCCTTGAATGAGATACTGGGACCCCATCCCTGCTTTGTTTCCTTCTTGGCTTCCTGGATGCTATTAGGTGAACAGCTTTCTTCTACCATGTTCTCCTTGCCAAAGGCCTAATGGAAAATACCAACCAACCATGTATTACATTTTCTCAAATCACAGTTTCCACCCTTCCCTTTTTACACACTGTTTACCTCATGTAGTCTATCAAAATAACAAAAAGAAAAAGCTGACATCTCCAAACCACTATCCCCCAAAAAAGTACTACGTGGAAAGCAAAAAAATCCTTGGACTTACTAAAAAACTCTTAAAAGAGTTACTGAGCTGTCAAATGGCTCAGGGGTAAAAAGGGCACCTGCTGCCATATATGATGACCTGAGTTCAATACTCAGAACCTACATGGAGGAAGGAGAGAACTGATCCCTGAAAGATGTCCCCTGACATTCATGCTTGCCTGTGTGTGCATGCCATCTTCCCTCAACACACATACTGAATGACTAAGTTAAGAAAAAGCACTTACATGTGAGGAAATGGAGCTTCTTCTACTACTGCAAGCTGAGTCCAAAGGATCAAATTTTAAGATCAATTCATCCAGTTGAGAAATTAGTTCACTATAAGTTGTAGGGTCCAGCTGAGATTTCAAATGCTCCAATTTATCTGCAGTCAGTGTTTTTCTTGCCTAATAAAAGGATAAGAAACCACCAACAAAACAGTTTATTGTTTGTAACTGCAGCTATATCCAAATAGCCAAAGAACTAAAGGTGCTCCCACAAGAATAAACCTTCATAGGTGTTTTAAGAAAGCTTAGTAAGCTAGGAAGATTTAATGAGAACATATTATATGTTAAGAACTAAGAGTTACCATTATGTATAATCATCCCCCTTAAAGCAAGCTCTGAAATTAAAATATATTAAAATATATTTCTAAGTTAATATATTTTTTCCCTTTTATTTTTCTTCTTCTTCTTTTTTTTTTTTTCTTGGTTTTTCAAGACAAGGTTTCTCTGTGTAGCCCTGGTTGTCCTAGAATTCACTTTGTTGACCAGGCTGGCCTCAAACTCACAAAGATCCACCTGCCTCTACCTCTCAAGTGCTGGGTCTAAAGGCATGCACTACCACCACCTACTCTGATATTTTCTTAAAACCAAAGTTACACCACCTTCACCCACCCTCAGATACATCTGCCATGATTTCTTTGAAGACTTGAACTCTACATGTGTAAGTCACACAAAAAGGTTAATAAAGATAAGCAACTTTATAGCAATCCATAATGAACATCCACAAGTAAACCCCTAACTCACTCTGCTGGTGATGATGGAATTTTGGAAGAGACAGCATGTGCGAGCAGCCAGGTCCCACAGGCCTCTCCTCAACAGGCGTTCCACACAGCGCTCCACGGATAAAAGGGAAAGATGGGAGACTTTCCCATTAAAGTGTAAACAAAACAACTCATTCTTGTAGACAGCTACATCCTGAATACCTAAAAACAAACAAACAAAAAAACCACAAAGACAGAATATTAACCAAACAGCCCTTGCTGCATCTGTAAGGCCCAGCTGGGAATGCAGCTTGGCGACCAGGTACTTGCCCGGATGTACAAGGCCCACACTTGATCCCCAGCAGTAGAAGGAAAAACCCTACCATTTTTACATGGGCTACAATCATAATTATAAGGTGAATAATATTTGGCTGAATGAAATGTTATCTCTTTTTATACTTGTATTTCAATAAAGAAATCATATTTAGATACTTTTGTAAGGTTAGAAAACAAAGCCCCACAGCTCCCTGATCTAAAACCCTAAGTTTAAAATGCTATTTCCTGTGAAAAGGAATTGGGAGTGAAAAACCGGGCAATATGCTTTGGGCCAGACTGTAACACTGTACAGAGTTATAACCTGGAGCTCACACAATAATGTAGACCACTAACGACCCCTCCTTTCTCTCTCGGGAGAAAAGACCCCAAAAGGCAAAATCAAGGAACTGTCTTACCAGAAATGCTACATTTTCCCATATCTCTGGTTGTAACCACAAGTAAAGGAACTGGTTTTCTCTGTTAGTCACACATAATAACTATTCCCTGCATTTTCAACTTCTCACATTATAAAATTTCTCATAATTAATTTTCACATACAATTGTGAGGCTAAAAGTTACCTAAGAAAGAAAAATATAATTACCCTTGACTTCACTCCAAAGAAGAACTTGAACATTCTGAGGAATGAAAATATAAATTCCGTTTTCTGTCCAAGTCAGCACACAGTGTTCACTGGAAGAAAAATAAAAGACATCAAAAAATGACAAAAAATAATTAAATAAACACAACCCTCAGGTTCACAGGCACAGAACTTTATTACTCCCTGGACTCAAACTCTCATCGGCTATTCAAGTTAAATAAGACTGTGCAAGAGAATACAGTGGCAACTCAACTGAACAAACTTTACCATCTCCTTCCTAAGCCCAATGAAAACACAGCATCAAATGGTGCCAAATTGGGAACATTTAGACACAAACACAAATAGCTTCTAGAAAAAGAAAAAGGCGTGCTTAAGAAAGATTTATGTGACACTTTTTCAACTTCTCAGATATAATACAGACACTCGTTTAGACAGACCAACCACTCACAGTGAATCGCCTTAGGAGTCTCTGTCAGGAAAGGCAATATTCTGACTTCAGCGGTGTGTGTAGGTGGCACAGGCCGAGAACACCTAGCCATGCCAGAAGTATTATGAAGGGCTCCAGCTACATAATCCAATGAGTCCATCAAGGTACAAGTGTTACTTTATTTTGTCAGAGAGATGAAATAACATGCCAGGGCCATTCAGCATGAAGGTCCAAGGCCTCACTTACTTAGACTGCGGAGTGCAACTCCAAAGCCGGATCTTACCTCTGAATTTCACAGAGCGTTTCTCCTTCAAACTCATTTATTCCAGAAACTCATTCCCTGTTTCCTGGGGTCCTGATTATTACACTTTATTGAATTATCAAAAAGTAATAGATTCCCTAACTACCACAACCACCGAGCCTTCATTTGACCCCTTCACAGACACACAGACAGGCAAAGCACCAGTGCACATGAGATATCAACCAATCAATCATCAAAATTAATAGGAAGATCTGAGTCTTCAAAGAAACAAGAAACTTCCACTTCAAGGAAGGAAGAGAAAATAAATAACCCAGAGGCTATAAAGATGGCTCAATGGTTAAGAACATTCTGTGCTTCCAGAGCACTCAAGTTCAGTTCACAGCCAGCAGCTGATAACCACTGCCAACTCTAACAACAGGAGATCCAACACAGTGTCTTCTGACCTCCTCCAGTAACCACCCCCACAGGACAGGTATGTATACACACAAACACACACCTAGTAAAATGAATATAAAAGAAACAGTAGCCTTGATTAAATGAAGGTGACAAAGGAGACTTAAGAACACAGGCTTATAATTCATACATTCTTCATCCTTCCATTCCTTCACTGATGATAAACTGTGACACCAAAGATAAAAGAATTAAGAAGTCAAAGAAAAAATATAAATGGAAGAAGTCAAAGCAGTTAGGCATGATAGCACATACCTATGATCACAGCACTAAGGAGACGAAGGCATTCTTAAACAGCAACAGCAAAGTCAGAGAAGAGAAAGAAGCACCATATCCATTGTGACCTGAGTTAATTTAACCTTTGGGGAAAATATTAACATCTTCACTATATTTTAAAAGAGCTGTTAGTTGCCCTTTGAAAAACCCCAATCAGTAGGCCACTCTACTGAGTGCCTACAAAAACACTATCATTCTTTGAGTTTTCACTTAGTTATAATAACTAGTAAAAGAGACTAGGACTAGCTGCTCACTATAACGTGGAACTCAGACAGATCCCTCCACCCATGCGATGCGGTAGAACAGCTGACAAACTCCAGAGTGGGATTCCATGCTGCTCAGTATTTGACTCTGTACCTAATGCAACTAGGTCGGCTAACCCCTAAGCGGAAGTGAACTGTCGGCCTGGAGCAGACCTTCATGTAAGCTACTTGTTAAGGACCTAAAAGACAGAGAGCTGGTTTCACTGAGCTTCCAAGGACCGGCTCCACAGCTGCTTATGTCCTGTGTGCTCACACTGACATGCTACATCGTTACAGCAGCCCACCAAGTACAGAGTTTCTAAGAGGATGAGAACCTTTACCAGAGGGTACTGCCTGCCGGAAAGCTCCCTGACAATTATAAACTCTTCTAACTGGTTTGGAAAGGGATCTCTTCATTTCTCTTATGTTCTGAATAGTATGCAACACAGTCACCGCCAAACTTCCCAGAAATAATTCAACATAAAAACAACCTTAAAAAGCTGGAAGTGGCCCTAGCTGGGCTGCCGTGTCTGGCCTCAATGGGAGAGGATGCATCTAGTCTTGCTGTGACTTTATGTACCATGGTGGGTTGGTACTCACTGAGGGAGGCTTCCCTTCTCTGAGGATAAAAGAATGGGGGAGTAGGAGAAAGTGTGAGGGTGGGACCGGGAGTCACGGAGGGAGGGGGTCTGTGATCAGGCTGTAAAGTGAATTAAAAAATAAAATTAAATTAAAAAGCTGAGAGTAGGGCTGGAGACACAGCTCAGTGGTTAAAAGAACTAACAGCTCTTCCAGAAGACCTGGGTTCAATCTAGCACCTACATGGCACTCACAACTGTCTTTAACTCCAGTTCCAGGAGATCTGATACCCTCTGGCACCAGTCATGCAAATGATGTACAGACATATACACAGGCAAAATAAAATGTGTAAAAGAAGATAAAAATTTTAAAGAAGACATACACATTCTCTCTTTCTCTCTTTGAAGTTGAAAGGCCTGAATGTAGTAACATGTAACAAAAGTCCCAGCTACTTGGGAGACTGAGAAAGAATTACTTGGTCCCAAGAATTTGAGGTCAGCCTGTGCAATACAGCAAGATTCTGTCTGAGGTTCAGCTCAGTGGCAGACTCTGCTCATCTAGCATGCACAAGACTCTTCAGTTTGATTCCCAGCAACACACACAGAAAATCTTTTTAAGCTGACTGGCTGTAGTTTAGCTTAGGTGTAGAGAAATCGCCATACAAGGTCCTGTGTTCACACTCTAACACCATTTTTAAACATTGAAAAGTAGGCTGGACAGCGGTGGGGGTGCATGCCTTAAGTCCCAGCCCTCAAGAGGCAGGCGAACCTGAGATTGAGGCCAGCCTGGTCTATAGAGGGAGTCCAAAAACAGCCAGAGCTACACACGGAGACCTTGTCTTGAAAAAAACAAAACAAAATAAAAATAAAATAAAATAAACATAAAAGCAATGGCCTCTGAATAAGGAGAAAAGGGCAAAGGAGAAACTTACCTAAGCTGCAGGAGTCTGGGGAACGCCAGCGACTGTGAGGATGTGACTGCATGGTCACACTGAGGCTCTGATCTGGAAGGTAAACAGACCTGGTCACTACCTATAGAGAAAACGGGAACTGGAAAACAAATTCAAGAGCCTAAATGGCATCTCCCCTACTGAAGTCACTGTAATCATGAAGACAGTTGTTAAGAACTGTTCTGATTTCTCTGAATCGTTTAATAAAAATTCTCTCACTTTTAAAAGGTATAATCAAATCTGAGA